TATTTTTCAAATTTGCTCAACAAATATTTGCAGAATAAAGATGAAGCCTATGAACGTTCTATGTCTGAACTCTTCCATGCTTGCTGATTGCATGTGTGTGTGTGTGTGTGTGTGTGTGTGTGTGTGTGTATGTGTGAAAGAGAGATAGAGAGTAAAAGATAGAGAAAGATAGGTAAAGGAGTTTGGAGGTCAAGGATAATGGTCACATTTCTATCTTAGGACACTCAATGGGGTGGGGAGGCCCTCACTAAGCCAAGGTACAAACAGGAGGAATAGGTTTGCAGGTGGGTGAATGAAGAGTTCAGTTTTGGGCTTACATGGAGTGAGATGCTTGTGGATGTCCAAGTGGAGATATCAGTGGCAGCTGGAGATACAGATATGGAATTCTATGGAGTACATTCCCAGAATTACTAACAAACATATAAAATGTAGCAATTTGACTTCACTGGGCCAAGACTGGAAATATTTTTTCATGAGGAGACTCTGCATACAGTCATGGGCACTGTTAGTGGAATAAATGGTGAGCCCATCTCAAGCTGTTTCATTAGTAGAAGCCTTGAAAGTGAGAAAGCAGAGCTGGAGGGACACTAAGTTTATATACTGACTATTCTAGATTAGCTGGTTCATGAGAATATGGATGTGGTTTTGAAGGACTCCCTTCCTTGAAACTTGTGAGCCATGATAATAACGGTGAAGCCTGGAGAGAAAGTAAAATTGTATATGGAGGGCATTGGTCAAGAAAAAGCATTGGTATAATCTGGCTTCAGGGTGTCTGGAAAGTGTTAAGAGACAGAAAAAAAGAAGTAGACTGGTCAAAAAAAACAAGAGACCAGACCTGGGTGGTGACATAAGAGAGTATTTCCAGGATATTGACCCATGGTATTAACACCTTATAGAGGCTGAGGAGCAAGAATAATGAAGAAGCAAGTGGAAATAGTCCCTGTACCCACCATGGCCTTTAGTAGTGTGTGTAGTGGGCTCATTCATATCATTGTTTTCAATTTTTGGAATCAATTTTCCTACAAGTCACAGTGTGCATTGCAAAATCATGCTCTAGGTTCCATTCCAACTACCCACGTGCTGACTTGTAGTCTATTTTCTGAAGAATTATCCCTTTGATTTTCTGTCCCTCCTCTGCTTAGAGGCCAGTGGTATCACTGTGATTTTTCCTCAAGTCCTTCCTTATCCTGTTAGATAGCCTTCCTTGTCCTGAAAGAATGTTTTCCAATCACTCTCCTCTGATTAAAACCTACCTATCCTGTGCCCTGTAGGCATTTTAAACCAACGTTTATTCAGCATCTAAAGTGAATGGATTTGAAGGTAAAGGTCTATGGTTTGTCCCTAAGAAGTGTTCACAATGAGTGACATGTTCATAAGTGTCATATAAGGCCGAATGATATCCTCTGAGAGCAGAAAAGCAGAGAAGGTGATTTAATTCCAAGAACAATTTATTCTGCTAAAAGCCAATCTGATAAACTTATTTGAGCTGATAAACTTATTTGATGGCTGAAAAGCCAAGGTGAGGATGACATTTACATTTAACTAGTCTTTTCAGTTCTAATCTAAGGTACCAAATAAACTGATAATTAGGGCATTATACTGAGGGGAATTTTTGGTTAAGGACAACTTGTTTAGAATTTCTTTAATCAAAGTTGGTGGCCGCAGAGTTAGTGTTTTGTTTTGCTTCTTCTTTTTTTTTTTTTTTTAATATAAGGCTAGTCTTATTTTGCTTATATGTGAGTCCATGCTACCCTTAATTTCATTTCTTTGCCATTTCTTTTTGCTTCTGAGGCTTGTGGTTATGAGCTCAGAGTAGATGTTAGCATATGTGCTGTAATCACTTGAATTTGCCTAAATTTCTTATCAATTGTTCTTCTTATCAATTATTGTTCTCTGTTCTCTATGTCCTTTGTAAGGCTAAGATGTCTTAACATTCCCTGAGTCTGACTAAATTTCAGACAGGCTTCTTCCTGACTCTAAGCCTCTGATTTCCTTTTCTTAGAATCTTTACTTTAGAAAACTTTTCATTGTAAATTCTTTGTCTGCCACTTTGAGAAGTAATCTCCCAGCTTCTTGCCAGTTTTACATCCCAGAAATATCTTTCTTAAGGAAGTTGGAACAAACCTTTGAAATGTAATCACTGGAGGACATCTCCCATTCTCTGTGGAGGGTATACATCTCCCATTCTCTGTGGAGGGTAGAAGCTTAACTTCCTAATTGGGACAACTGGCAAACACAATGATCATCTTCCCCACTAATAATCTTTAGGACTTTTGCACTAGCTCACTATTAGCTCACTCCAGCACTTAAAAACCCTCCTGCCTTCCAGGAAGTTGAGTTCAATCTCTCTTCTCTCTTGTAATAGTTTTGACCGCATTGCAATAGTCTTGAATTAAGTCTTCCCCACCTTAACTCCTTCACATGCAATTTTCCTTTGGTATTTGTAATTTCTGAAACAAAGAATCTCTTTGGTATTTTCTTTTGCTGTTTAAAAAAAATTCTAGAAAATACTTAGCTGACCAAATTTACAATTTCCTCCTTCATTTTTAGCTTCCTCACAGATTCTTGGAGGAACTTGTTTTCCAAGCCTGAGGTCAGTTTTCCCTGATAATAGTTTCCTTGTCTTTCCTTGTTTTTTTGTTTTTGTTTTTGTTTTTTTTTTTTTTGCAGACCTGTGGAGAGAGCTGCTGGGGTAACCCATATATTTTTCTACTATTTAACACATGCTCAATGAGATCACCTTTCTCTTTTGTATGACAATCTATCTATCAAAACCAATTCTTCCCTTTGAAATCAGCCAGTTGTCTTACCTGGCAGAATCTGACTTGCTGTGGACATGTCCTACTTAGTGTTGATCTAAATACAATGCTTACGAAAGCATTGTTAAGGTCAGATATGTTTTCCTGTTTTTGGCCAACATCTGAGTCTATTATTTAGCATACTCAAGGAAGAAAGATACATCTTTGTGTGGCTTAACAATTCTGCTCACTAATCAGGGGAACTCATAAAATGACTTAAGGGGCGCCTGGAGGGCTCATTTGATGAAGCGTCTGACTCCTGGTTTTGGCTCGGGCCATGGTCTAATGGTTTTGTGGGTTCGAGCCCTGTGCTGAGCTCTATGCTGACAGCAAGGAGTCTACTTGGCATTCTCTTTCTCCCTCTCTCTCTGCCCCTGCCCCACTCACAGTGTCTCTCTCAAATAAATAAATAAACTTAAAAAATGGTTTAATAAAGTGCATGACAACCCTGGGAAGTGTCTATGAAAAGATAAAGTTACACTTTGGGAATGAATGCACAATTTTCCTGTCTCTCACTTGAAAAACAGAACTTTGAAAAACAGAAACTTTTCTGTTTCTGTGGCTACAAAACTTATATCCATCATCCTTTGATTCAGACAACTTTAACTCAGAAGACAGTTGTGACGTATGTATTTGTCTGTGCCAGGAACTTCTCCAGGTGGAACTGCCCCAGAAGGAACTGTGATGATATACTTAAACTCACGTAAGTATTTACAAAATCATTAAATAAGCACATTTTTAGAATTCTTGCAGTGTGTTGGCTGGTACATCTTTAATGTAACAAGGATAACTTCAAAGATTTCCTCCAAGGCTTTACTGGTTTGTTATGTTAAATGTTAATATAGTTTTCTTTTTTTGACAAAGCATTGGCCCGTAACATATGCGGCTCCTGGCTTTCCATCTAAGAATCTATGGTATGGAAGAATGCCTGTGCTGCTTTGCATTTTGTGTAGATGGCCAGCAGTAATTAGGTTCCTTCCTCTATTAGATTTGTATCAACAAAGGTCATGACTCCAGGTAGACTGGCCATGCCAGAAGTGAATATACAGGACCAAACAAGGCCTAGGAAATTGGAAGGTCATGACTGTAATTCTCTCAGGCACTTCAGATGTGTCTCTGAAAGTGAAAAAAGCAAGGAGCATGATTGAGATTTCTCACATCAATTTTAATTTTCTTTCCTTTCTGTTAGTTCTAACGCGGTCTTGGTGCCTCCAGATTATTGGGAAATGATAAAGGAAAATATGAATCTTATTATCTGGGACTTTCCTTTATCTGCTCCCAACCCTCATTCTTGCCAAATCAGTTCCAATCTTCAGTAGAAACCTAATTTTGTCTAGAGCCTTCGCAGAGAGAAAGGCTTACAACTCACATCTGCTCATCCTCATTCCTTATGCAGGGAAGGAGAGATAAAAGGACAATAAGAGAATTGTGTAACATTTAATTTGAGATGTGTGCCCCCCCCATGTCAAGTTCTTCTTCCTTATGAATAAGAAACAATGGTCTGTAATAGACAAACTACCAACCAATTACTTACATGGTAATCATCATTTACGTAAATCAATAACCTTTATTTGATGGGTTATCCACTGGGGTCTGTAAATATAATCTTGGTTTGGTTTCCCTCATGTAGCAGGTCATCTTCAAGTTCTTTTTAACCATATTTTCCTTTTCACTTTTTAGAAACCAGTTTGTGGGAGACAGACCCTTCCCCTCTCCATGAAGTCCAAATGGCAGCTTATAGTTTGGCTTGGTGATCATACCTGATTCTTTTGTCCAACATGGACATGTGATATCATTTTGCAGTTAAGACATTCAATAATTCATTTCACAAATTATTATCTAGTGCCTACAATATGCCAGACACTGCGATACTGAGGAAGCATGAACACAGACTTTAAAATTTAGTGAACTGTATTAATGCCAACACTAAATAGTGTTTATTGTGTGTCTGTGATAAATTTGGCTCAATGAAACTTTTTCTTTCCTAGAAAATATACACTCCAGTAACACATTATGATGATTCACTGACTTGTTTAACTCTTACCTAATAGGTAGCAAAAATGCCTAAATGTACATTTTATACAAGGAATTTAGGATTTTAAGGAAAAGCACAAATGCCATAAAGAGTAAATGGTTATTTCCAGTCTTCCTGTGAGTATTCAGTGGAAACTATAGCATGTTCCTTAAAAGTTTCATACTTACTCATCTCTGCAAACAGCTGTCTTCTTTCTGCCATGGTATTTCCTCTTTTCCCACTATCTTCAATCATTCTAGGAGACAAAATGGTTATAGTGTTATTACCCTCATGCTAATGAGGTAAACAACCATTTCTTTTTTTTTTTTTTTTTAATTTTTAATGTTTTATTTCTAGGAGAGAGAGAGACAGCTTGAGCAGGGGAGGGTCAGAGAGAGAGGGAGTCACAGACTGAAACAGGCTCCAGGCTCTGAGCTGGCAGTCAGCACAGAGCCCGACGCGGGGCTCGAACCCACAAACCGCGAGATCATGACCGAAGCGAAAGTCGGACGCTTAACCGACTAAGCCACCCAGGCGCCCCAACCATTTCTATGTAAACACACTTGCTGTAGTTATTCTGCAAACACAAACTATTTAAAACTGTGTATTTTAAAAGTATAGCTTTCCTTTCACTAATTTAAATTGCCACACATATTTTTCCATACACAATGTTGTTGTAATTGTTGGGGGGGGGATATAATTTTTATTTTCTAACATAAAAATGACTACAATACCAGATGACCTTGTGTAAAACCAAATACAACCATCTGCCATCTGTTAGGTGATTCACATATAGCTTTTCTTTCAATTTTGGGAATACCTACGAAGAATATAGAACAGATATTATGGATTCCATTCAACAAATGATGAGATTGAGAGTCTCAGAGTGAATGGTGTAGGCATTTGGACTCCAAGACCAGTCTGCCTTCTGCCATATTCTGCAGGAGGTTGTCCCCGTGCAGCCAAAATCTCAGTTTACAGGTAGGTCATTTTCCAAATAGTGATCTCTCATTTGAGTCTGTGGAACCTATGTCAGTTTTTCTATACATAATAATTTCCTGCAAGGTGGGAGGTTAACATCTCTCTACTTAACCATACGACCATCTGCAGTAACCATTTAAAAAATACTATGAAAATGCCAACAGTTAAAACAGAGAATAAAAAAGTATTTAAAAATTAAAATTTGACTGGAGGAAAAAGAGATAATGAGAAAAGTTAATGGAACTGTTGTTTAGTCTAACAGACTTTAGAGGACTTTGGGCTAAATCTTAAAGCTTTTATAGGTGGGTGGAGTTGATTTTTTAATATATCCACTTAAGTTTTTAAAAACTAAAGTTTCCTCTCTCATTCACTCAATACATATACCCATATACCACCATGTTTTGAGTCTCAGGCATGGTAAACAGAAGGCACAGCTGATCTTTTTGCCTCCATTTAATGGGCCCTGCTCTTTCTCCGTCTATGCTATTTTTTGTTCTGAATTTCTCTTTCTCTGTGCCTAGCTAACTTGCAATAACCCTTCAGCTCTTGGTTTAGGTGGACCTTCCTCTGAAATTCTTCCTAACTCTCTATGACAGGGTTTGGTGCCTTTCCTCTGAACCTCCACAGCCCACTATCCCCTCTTTCTCAATGCTGAAAATTCACCTAATAAATCTTTATTTAGTGCCTTCTATACTCCAGGAATCAAATTAAGTTCTGGGTATAAAACAATGATCAAGTCATAGTTCCTGCCCCTAAAGTGCTTATACTGTACTGGCGGGGGGTAGGGTGGGGGGGTGGATACAAAAGTATAGAAGCAATGAAACCATAATGAAGTAATTATAGTCATAGAAGTGGAAAGATATGTGAGTGTAAGAGACATTGACTACCTGAGGGTAAATTTAATAGCACTAGGTTGCAGAAGATGACTCAAAATGAAATGGGGCTGTACATAAATAACTCACCTGAGGGTAAAAGAAAATATTGGTGGTGAAAACCAATGTGATGTCAGTCAAACTTGTCAAACAGCCTCACCAGTTGTTTCTATGAGAAGGATTATTTGCCTACTGCCAGGAAGGGAAGAAGGACATAGAACAGCCTTGGTTTACAGAGTTAAGGGAAGAGTGTGTTCCCATTCATGATGGGTGATGATGTAACCAAGGTCTGGCCTGAATAATAATTGGAAAAGAGTGGATTTATTAGTGAAGTATCTTCAGTTTGGTAAAAATTCACTGCTGAACACAGGTACTTTCTTTTTATGATTTTAAATATGCAGGTATGGTTGATATATAGAGATCTGGAGAAAAATACACCCTTCCGGATTCATATAACCTCATCTCCTTTACTCCAGAGGAAGTGGGTAGATAATAATCTGACATTCACAAAATAGTCTGGACATACCTTCCAATCTTCATTTCAAGAGCTTAAAAGTAGAACCGAAGCAATAGAGAGATAGGGGATAGAACCAGCGATATGTTTCTACATCTGTCTGTATGTTGAAATGAGATGAAAAGAACCTTTAAAAATAAACCACAAAGAATGGCAGGCTGGAAAGCTCTGATGGAAAATATCAGGGAAGGGAAGACTAGCCACCAAAGTCACAGTGCTTACTGCCTGAACCCCTCAATTGGTACTGTTTGTTACATCTCTTTCCTAGTTAACTTTTCGTGTGTCTCTCTGTAAGGCCTTTGTAGGCAGTAACTTCAAAAATTCTAAATTCTTCACAGTGCTTAGCAAAATCCAATCAGTAAATCGTACGTCCATTTAGTATTCATTAAAAAAAAGAAAAAAAAGAAACAAGAATGGAACAAAAAAAAATAGAGGAAAGAACAGTAAAAGCTAAGTTTGCTCTCCATGACACAGACTTTCAATTATATTTCCCAAAACTGACTCAGAAGAATTCAGTTCAGATTGCACTAGTTTCAGAAATTATTGGAAATGAGAGAAATTAATTTATATCTATTAGGACCTAGGGTCATACACATTTTAAAGCAAAGTCTTATCTTATAAAATAGAAGTTGCAAATAGATGCAGACTACACTGATGTCACCTTTTGGTCTATTCATCATCATTTTGTGATTAATTAACTCATAAAAGAACCATTATTAGTTACATAATAGGAATTAATTCTCACTTCGAAGTAAGATGCACACCTTATGAGGACAGGAAGGAAAACCTCAGTAGTGTGAAACAATAGAAAGTGTGGAATATAATTACAAATGTAAAAAGAAAATAACACATTTCTCAATTTACCCCTAAAGTTTCCTGGGAAGCAACACCATTAGATAAAATTGAGAATACACACTTACTACCAATTTATCACAGTCATAATGGTAAAAAAGGGGAGGCCTGCTAGTTTATAGCTTATAGGGATTCAACAGAGGGACTTATGGACACTCAGCTCATGAATCAAAGAGGCAAAGACCACCACTACGGGCTCCTTAGTTTTTCTTTTTTTTTTAAACAATTTTTTTATAGTTTTAATTTATTTTTGAGACTGAGAAAGATAGAATGTGAGTGGGGAAGGGGCAGAAAGAGAGGGAGACACAGAATCTGAAACAGGTTCCAGGCTCTGAGCTGCCAGCACAGGACCGGATGGGGAGGCTCGAACTCACGAACCGTGGGATCATGACCGGAGCAAAGTCAGATGCTTAACCAACTGAGCCACCCAGGAGCCCCAAGGGCTCCTTAGTTTTCAATTTAATGCCAATCAGTGGGCCTTGAGATACATAATGCTTGACTTTAGAAAGAAAGAAGAGCAAAACCTTCAGTAGGGGCAGGAGGGGGTGTTTTTACAGAGAGCTATTTTGCTTCTGAAATTGTCAGGAAGCTCTGCTTTTCATGAATTTAGCATATCAACAGCTGCCCAAAGTCATATGGAGGAGATGAAGGGGAAAAGAACCCATCTGTGACAAAACTGATGTCACAAGGTGTGTGGCTCACCAACAGGCCTAATTTGGTGAGTTTCTGTCACTCCTTCATGTAGACAAGATGCTTGCAACCTTAGAATTTACCAGATTACATAAATGTCAAAACAGCAAAAGGAACTAACAGGTGATGAATAAGTGATGAGCCCCATTAAGACATTTCCTTTACTCGGGTTCAGTCCCATGAATTATACAGAGTATGTGTTGTTTTCACTTCTGAGAATCTATCCATTTCATTTACTTAAGAAATATTTATAAGGTAGCTATAATTTGTCAGATACTCTGCTTAGTTCTCAAGATCCAAAGATGAATAAGACATGATCCTTGCTTTTAAGAAGCTCACAGTTTAGAAGGAGAAACAAATTATTCCAAATGATCATTGTAATTTGGTGTAATATGTACAATAATGAAAGTATATATTAGTACATATAGCAGTTTATTTCTGGGAAATCTGAAGGGAGCATCAAAGGCTGACTCTGGAACAGAGTTTTAAAGGAAAATCAAGAATTTTCCAGGTAGAAATAAGTGGAGAAAGGGTACTCAGAGTTAGTCAGGGGGAAAAACCATGGAGCTTTAACAAGAGTACAGTCTATAAGAACTGAGAATAATTCAGTATTGGTGAGTGCAAGTGTGATTAGAAATGCCAGGACAGGCATCAGATCTGGAAGGTCTATTCTTCATGTCTAGACAGTGTAGGGCTTTCCTGTAGAAGACTGGATGCCACCCAAGGTTAAGTAGGGAACTGATGTATACACATTTAGGTTTTGGCAAGATGCCTCCAGAATACTGAGTGGAGGAAAGATGGGTTAGGTAGGGGGCTAAGGAATGGGAGTGCACGATTCAGGGAAGAGTCTAGTTCACTGGATACTTACATGATTCGGGAACAAGAATATGATGTCTTATGCTAAAGGGCTGATTTGAGATTCAGGGCGATACAGTGGGCCTTGGTGATTTGCAGTCCCCATGAAGAATGGTGGAGGACAGGAGCTCAGCCTCTGCTCTCCCACCCCACTTCACACATTCGAGGAAACAATCTGGCAGAGTAATGACTTCATAGAAAGGGAGTTCATCAACTCAACTTCTTCCAGCATTGCATTCAAATGGGGGCTACAAAACTAGATAGGGAGAGCTCCCGCTTCCGCCCCTCTTTATGGGGGAGGAATGAAATAACAGAGTAGAAGAGTGTGGGAACCAGCAAGAAATAAAGAATAAATCACAGTACAGGGCACAGAGTGTTAGAAGACATGTGAATTGCATCTTGGCATAGTGAGAATAAGTTCACATTGAAGTATCGCATTCTTGAGTTGCTTCCTTTGCGACTCGTCTTTAATCCAACATCACCCATACCAAA